GTGAACCAGCGTCAGAATTATACTCCTACATTCTAAGGAACTGAGACAAAAAAGGTAGTTCATGAAAATATTTCGTTTCCCGGTCCCAATGAATGAATATTGATCCTCTAATTAATAGCACCCATTATCAGAATGTACATTGTAGTCTTGTCTTTTAGTAATTCCTTCCATAGCTTCCTGAGACTATGGCCCTGTTTGAGCCCCATTTTTACCTCATTAAAATGAAAAATATGACCATTATCCATCACATCAAGTCACCATTTTTGAATTTCTATCTCTTGTGTGGGGCCCATAACGGCTCTATTTTTCATTCTCATTTTACAAATAATGTGGCTCAAACGGGCTTTATATTTCACCACTTAGAACTCGTTCTTTGACACTGAGGGGGCTCAGTTGCATCATGTCACCACACCTAGAGGCCTAAATTTCTACAGCCCAAAAACTCTTAACATCCAAAAAATACTATATATTTTCCAGCCAAGGCCAATTACAGGAAAATGAGTGGCCTTGGATTCTTTAGAGGTAGAAATCAATGTGATACTTAAAACTCAGACATATCTGATAATTAGGAACTTCTTACTCTCACTCTTCAAAAACCCTGTTGTCTCTCTCGAAATCAGCCAAATATAGCCGAAATCAATGTTCTCCACTACTGCACACATCTAGCCATTATCACAGCTTATTGGCTTTTCAAGGAGTAACCCATAACACATGCTCAGGATAACACATGGAAAACCTATGATGCTCGAACTCAGATATGGATATCGGGTACAGATACATCTCCAAGTGTCAAATTTTTTATTTTCTAAAATGTAGAATACGAAAACGTGGCTAAGAGTAGTCTAAATTTTGAACACGGCTACGTGGGTATATCTTTTAAACATCAATTTTTTTACTAACTCGGTATTATTTTGAATAGATCAAAATCAATTATTCACAAAGAAGAAAATAGTATCGAATAAAGGGTTAAAATGAATAAAATAGAATTTTGGAATTTAGTTTTCAATTATGAGAAGTTCATTACTAAATGTTATATAAAATAAAAAATGACGAACTTGACCGCAATTTAGATTTAGTGGAGTGCCAAGTCGTATTATATAGAACCCATTTTCATTTTATACAAACAAAACTCTAAATCACCGATATGGAAAGGGAAAGAAGGGAGAAAAAGAAAGAAAAGAAAAGGGAAAGAAAAAAGAAAGAAGAAGAAGGGAAAATCTAGCATCGTCGCCTTTCTCCAACCTCTCAGAGGTGGCGCTAGGTTTATAGAGAGTAGAAACAGAAAGAAAAGGAAAAGAAAAAAAAAGAAAGAAGAATAAAAAAAAAGGGATGAAGTATTTAGTTGAAACTTGGAGGATTCAACATATATTTCATACCCATATCCATGTTGTGTCGTGTCCGACAAAAGTTCTCCAACTGTTTCGAAGGGTCCGAGCATTAGAGTGGAAAACCAACTACATGAAAAAATTGACACCATAGCCATCATCACAACGTAAAAACAAATGATCAATACCCTTCCAAGCCTTTTTTTAGGTATTACACATCACGACTACAAAGAGAGAAATAGGCTTTCTTTTGAACCAATTCACAAGTAATAATTTTCCCATGAAAGACCAGTCACAAGAAAAACCTTAACAAAATGGACTTGATCATGACAAAGATGAGGTGGAGTGGCAAATCAACAAGAGCAGAGAAGAATGACTTGCAAGAAAAAGGTTTGAGTAATTCAACATCCACAACCTTTTGGCACTTCAAGAAGGTTTAAAACAAACATTCTCAATGGTAATTTTAAAAATTTTAAATTCTCGAGTTGCAATGCAATTGAAAACTCCAACTTGTTTTTCCATTTTCAGAGGGTAAACCAACAAAATTTATAGGGCATTTTTAAGAAAAGAAAAAATTGCATAATCATCAAAATAACGACTCAAGGGAGCAAAAACTATTCCAATCTTACTACTAAAACAACTATCTCCGGCACCTACATTCCATTTTGTAAACAGGATAAAAGAAGAAAATCCCAGTAAATATGAGCTTTCAAATGCTTCTAAGGGAATGACTCACCAAACATATTTAGATCTTGACTATTTGTTACAAACTATGCTTGCTCGTAACAACCCTATGCCCCTACAGCACAAGGAAGATTTATCAGAAAATCTCCAAAGACATTTTCCTGAATAGTCAAATTAGATCTTAAGTTCAGTGACCAGAATCAAAAGGTTCCCTTGGCTTCCAGCAACCATTATGAGAGGCTTTTGTAGACATGCTCCTCCATATCTTCAGTACACTTCCTGTCCAAGATCCAACAGTAGAAACACACACTCCTTGATACATAAACCCGAAAAGGCTTACTTGATAATGACATCCAACCTCCACTTCTATGCAATAATATGAGTAACTTCCAGGGTTAGCATAAAAAGCATAATACTTACAAGCATAGCTAAAATTAAGCGTGATGATAAAGATGCTATGACATTGGATCACGGCTAGACTAAAGGATTCATTTTCTCTTTTCATACTAATAATTAATCAAGTCAAACGAACATGAGAACATTTATGTTCAAGATAATAGTACAAAAAGCAGTTAAGCAGTCATGTATCAGTCAACTGGTAGCGAAAAATTGCAAAAAAGCAGACCTTATTGGGGTGAACTTTGTCAAAAACGTGAGCTTGACCACCATAAAATATAGTCATTTGAAAACTGGCCGATTCTATTCTGTGTTGACTGTCATTAAAAAAAGGACAAATAGAACTCATAAATCTTTTAGCCAATCATGCATATATCTCGCGTAAGAAAATTAGAAAAATCTAGTATCGTGAATTAACCTGGGTGTAGCAGATTCTGGCTCTGCAATGTAAGCACCAGACTTTTGTTTATCAGTATGTATAAGCACTCCCGAAGAGCGTCTCTCAGAAACTCCTATAGTTGCATTGATAGAACTCAAAATTCCAGATCCTTTAATTCCAGTCCTAGATCCTTCATCAGCAGCTGTTCGAGATATGGCAGCAGGACCAGGATTCGTATCTTTAAACCTATTTGATAGCGTCTGGTACCCAAATGGCGCAACTTGACCAGCACGTGGAGGATATTGTGATGAGGACCCAAGATTCACTGGAATAGGTCGATCCCATTTGGAGTCACCGTCACTAGAAGATTGAGTTATAAGAGAGGCCGAAATTGGTCTCATCTGATGCATAACAAAGGACGTTTCCTCATCATGTGGCCACCTAGGTCGGTCTCCCCCTGCATGTCGTAGTAGCTGAACTTGAACAAAGAACTCCCGATATCAGAATAAATACTAAACATTTTTAGCATGTTTTGTAACGCTAATTAGACAGCAATAGATCATATTAAGAAACAAAGAGAAGCAAATATTTGCTGTTTACTAAAGTCTAATATTGAGTTCCAAACATGCACTTCAGGAAGGAGATTTAAACAATGATAAGACCACAACATCCCTTTACCTATTCTAAGATAACAAGTCGAGAAGGAAAATAATTGGGAAGACGTAAATATAAAAAGAACAAACCTTCATTAAATGTGAGCTCTCGTCTGGTTGCAATTGTGGAAATTTCTCTTTTGATGACACCATAAAAGAATCAGAGTTACTTCGTTTGGTTCCTATGAATCTATTACTTGTCTCAAGTCCTTTAAACTCACCTCTTGACTGATAAAATGGGATCCCCTCCAAATGACTGCCAACATGTTTTTCTAGCATAGTTGACCAAACTACAAGTTAATCTTCAAGTATCTCATCCAATAATCACTAATATGCTCGCGGCATGATAGTTTCAACAATGCAATTCAAGAAATAAAAAGGCTGGTGCATGTGCATATGGAGTAGGATTTCTTGAGTAAATCAGCAACCATTTCCGTCAAACAATTATCCAATTAACAAATAAAACAAAGAGGAAAAGTTATACTCCTTCCATCCCACAAAGATATGTTTGCTTCCATTTTCACACATATTGAACAAATGTAATTACCATAGTTAGAACAATAAATTTTACATTTTTTTTTTTTAATATAACCCTACATTGATAATGATTTAGATAGGAGCAGTTCATATTTGTCATAAAAATATATATTAAATAGGGACATATTAAAAAATTAAGAAATAACTATGAATAATGCTATCTAGCCCCAGTCTAGATGGCTACATTTTATAGGTTAAATTAAATGAGTAGTGTGACTTTGTATTTAAATGAATCTCCATGTAATTACCACCTAGAATGGTGCTTAATAGCAGATGAATAGCATTGCTCAATAACTATACTCTCAATAAGAAAAGTGGTCCATAATTTAGGACATACGAGAAAAGAAAGTAAGCATATCTTTATGGACAGAGGGATTAGCAAATATAGCAATTTCAAACGAAGTAATTCGGAATGAACACACACTTATATCTCCATTAGTGACCTCACGCAAAACTAAATTTTTCCAAAAATTAGTCTAAATTTTGAACACGGCTACGTGGGTATATCTTTTAAACATCAATTTTTTTACTAACTCGGTATTATTTTGAATAGATCAAAATCAATTATTCACAAAGAAGAAAATAGTATCGAATAAAGGGTTAAGATGAATAAAATAGAATTTTGGAATTTAGTTTTCAATTATGAGAAGTTAATTACTAAATGTTATATAAAATAGAAATGAGGAACTTGACTGCAATTTAGATTTAGTGGAGTGCTAAGTCGTATTATATAGAACCCATTTTCATTTTATACAAACAAAACTCTAAATCACCGATATGGAAAGGGAAAGAAGGGAGAAAAAGAAAGAAAAGAAAAGGGAAAGAAAAAAGAAAGAAGAAGAAGGGAAAATCTAGCATCGTCGCCTTTCTCCAACCTCTCAGAGGTGGCGCTAGGTTTATAGAGAGTAGAAACAGAAAGAAAAGGAAAAGAAAAAAAAAGAAAGAAGAATAAAAAAAAAGGGATGAAGTATTTAGTTGAAACTTGGAGGATTCAACATATATTTCATACCCATATCCATGTTGTGTCGTGTCCGACAAAAGTTCTCCAACTGTTTCGAAGGGTCCGAGCATTAGAGTGGAAAACCAACTACATGAAAAAATTGACACCATAGCCATCATCACAACGTAAAAACAAATGATCAATACCCTTCCAAGCCTTTTTTTAGGTATTACACATCACGACTACAAAGAGAGAAATAGGCTTTCTTTTGAACCAATTCACAAGTAATAATTTTCCCATGAAAGACCAGTCACAAGAAAAACCTTAACAAAATGGACTTGATCATGACAAAGATGAGGTGGAGTGGCAAATCAACAAGAGCAGAGAAGAATGACTTGCAAGAAAAAGGTTTGAGTAATTCAACATCCACAACCTTTTGGCACTTCAAGAAGGTTTAAAACAAACATTCTCAATGGTAATTTTAAAAATTTAAAATTCTCGAGTTGCAATGCAATTGAAAACTCCAACTTGTTTTTCCATTTTCAGAGGGTAAACCAACAAAATTTATAGGGCATTTTTAAGAAAAGAAAAAATTGCATAATCATCAAAATAACGACTCAAGGGAGCAAAAACTATTCCAATCTTACTACTAAAACAACTATCTCCGGCACCTACATTCCATTTTGTAAACAGGATAAAAGAAGAAAATCCCAGTAAATATGAGCTTTCAAATGCTTCTAAGGGAATGACTCACCAAACATTTTTAGATCTTGACTATTTGTTACAAACTATGCTTGCTCGTAACAACCCTATGCCCCTACAGCACAAGGAAGATTTATCAGAAAATCTCCAAAGACATTTTCCTGAATAGTCAAATTAGATCTTAAGTTCAGTGACCAGAATCAAAAGGTTCCCTTGGCTTCCAGCAACCATTATGAGAGGCTTTTGTAGACATGCTCCTCCATATCTTCAGTACACTTCCTGTCCAAGATCCAACAGTAGAAACACACACTCCTTGATACATAAACCCGAAAAGGCTTACTTGATAATGACATCCAACCTCCACTTCTATGCAATAATATGAGTAACTTCCAGGGTTAGCATAAAAAGCATAATACTTACAAGCATAGCTAAAATTAAGCGTGATGATAAAGATGCTATGACATTGGATCACGGCTAGACTAAAGGATTCATTTTCTCTTTTCATACTAATAATTAATCAAGTCAAACGAACATGAGAACATTTATGTTCAAGATAATAGTACAAAAAGCAGTTAAGCAGTCATGTATCAGTCAACTGGTAGCGAAAAATTGCAAAAAAGCAGACCTTATTGGGGTGAACTTTGTCAAAAACGTGAGCTTGACCACCATAAAATATAGTCATTTGAAAACTGGCCGATTCTATTCTGTGTTGACTGTCATTAAAAAAAGGACAAATAGAACTCATAAATCTTTTAGCCAATCATGCATATATCTCGCGTAAGAAAATTAGAAAAATCTAGTATCGTGAATTAACCTGGGTGTAGCAGATTCTGGCTCTGCAATGTAAGCACCAGACTTTTGTTTATCAGTATGTATAAGCACTCCCGAAGAGAGTCTCTCAGAAACTCCTATAGTTGCATTGATAGAACTCAAAATTCCAGATCCTTTAATTCCAGTCCTAGATCCTTCATCAGCAGCTGTTCGAGATATGGCAGCAGGACCAGGATTCGTATCTTTAAACCTATTTGATAGCGTCTGGTACCCAAATGGCGCAACTTGACCAGCACGTGGAGGATATTGTGATGAGGACCCAAGATTCACTGGAATAGGTCGATCCCATTTGGAGTCACCGTCACTAGAAGATTGAGTTATAAGAGAGGCCGAAATTGGTCTCATCTGATGCATAACAAAGGACGTTTCCTCATCATGTGGCCACCTAGGTCGGTCTCCCCCTGCATGTCGTAGTAGCTGAACTTGAACAAAGAACTCCCGATATCAGAATAAATACTAAACATTTTTAGTATGTTTTGTAACGCTAATTAGACAGCAATAGATCATATTAAGAAACAAAGAGAAGCAAATATTTGCTGTTTACTAAAGTCTAATATTGAGTTCCAAACATGCACTTCAGGAAGGAGATTTAAACAATGATAAGACCACAACATCCCTTTACCTATTCTAAGATAACAAGTCGAGAAGGAAAATAATTGGGAAGACGTAAATATAAAAAGAACAAACCTTCATTAAATGTGAGCTCTCGTCTGGTTGCAATTGTGGAAATTTCTCTTTTGATGACACCATAAAAGAATCAGAGTTACTTCGTTTGGTTCCTATGAATCTATTACTTGTCTCAAGTCCTTTAAACTCACCTCTTGACTGATAAAATGGGATCCCCTCCAAATGACTGCCAACATGTTTTTCTAGCATAGTTGACCAAACTACAAGTTAATCTTCAAGTATCTCATCCAATAATCACTAATATGCTCGCGGCATGATAGTTTCAACAATGCAATTCAAGAAATAAAAAGGCTGGTGCATGTGCATATGGAGTAGGATTTCTTGAGTAAATCAGCAACCATTTCCGTCAAACAATTATCCAATTAACAAATAAAACAAAGAGGAAAAGTTATACTCCTTCCATCCCACAAAGATATGTTTGCTTCCATTTTCACACATATTGAACAAATGTAATTACCATAGTTAGAACAATAAATTTTACATTTTTTTTTTTTAATATAACCCTACATTGATAATGATTTAGATAGGAGCAGTTCATATTTGTCATAAAAATGTATATTAAATAGGGACATATTAAAAAATTAAGAAATAACTATGAATAATGCTATCTAGCCCCAGTCTAGATGGCTACATTTTATAGGTTAAATTAAATGAGTAGTGTGACTTTGTATTTAAATGAATCTCCATGTAATTACCACCTAGAATGGTGCTTAATAGCAGATGAATAGCATTGCTCAATAACTATACTCTCAATAAGAAAAGTGGTCCATAATTTAGGACATACGAGAAAAGAAAATATTATCTGAAATTAGGATGTTAAATGAACCTGTAATTGTTTATTCAGATAGCCAAAGTGCAATACACTTGTGTAAGAATCCTGTTTTTCATGAAAGAACCAAACACATAGATGTAAAGTTACATTTTATTAGAGATGTTGTCTCAAATGAATGTGTTCTTCTTGAAAAAATTCCTACACAGTACAATCCATCAGACATGGGGACAAAGGTATTGCCTCTTTCTAAGTTTAAATCATGTTTGGCACTATTGAATATTGATACAGGTTAATCCTTTAAATGCAGGTACAACTTGGTGTCAATAGGAGGGCTGCAAGTGCTCAGAAATCCCATTGGCATCAAGGTGGAGGTTGTTGGGCTGTGATGACCAATGACCTTTCTTTTTCTGGGCTGTGATGACAAATGGGCTAAAGCCCAATAACTGTTTTTTATCAACTTAGGCTCTTGCCCAATAAAATGACCCGATCCGCCCCGGCCCAAATGGTAGATAAAAACGTGTTTTGGCGTGGCATATTTTAATGCAGCCAAACACGCCTTTCTTCAGTTAAATGGGTGCCTCTTGACCGTTGGATTGAACTTGATCTAATGGTGGATCTTGTGGTATATATATACTTGGCCCCTTTTGCCCTAATTCAGTTGGACCGTCATTTTTCTTTCACTCCAGCTGCGGCTGAGGTTCCAGAGTATTCCATTCTCTCTTCTTCGTCTTCTTCGTGAGAGTCCAATCTCTGATTGGATCTGGTTTCTGTGTGATTCCATCTTTGTGTTCCTTAATACTGTGTGTATTGGAGAGTTTGGTGTGTGATTTTACCCCTTGTGGTTTCCTTTAACTGATAAAGGAAAACCTTAGGGTTTGGGGCGATCGGTGTGGGTCATACAGAAGGGTACAATCCTGTATTTTCTTGAGTCTGAGCCCTATTCATGAAAGGAACTTCATCTTGACGTCGTGTGGCTTGAGTTCTCTGTGAATGACTGGAGGATTTAATTTTCTGCCTCTTTTCTTGTAATCTTTCTTGTTAATTTTCTGTGATTTTGTACTGATAGATTGTTGTAACAACATGTAAGCACATTTATACAACAAATCAGCTAAACAGAAAAATCAAAATAGCCCATGAAAGAAGTCCAAGTACTGTCATAAGAATAAATTAAAAGTAAAGAAAGGAAGAATGAAGGTTGCACTTGTGTTATTACCGGAGTACAGATCAGAAGTGGTCGACATGGGCCCACGGCCACCACAAGAAGAGGCACCAAGGGAGGCAGAAGCTGATGGGGACACTTCGGACGATGGCTGGCCACCTTCTCCGGCTGGCGGAAAAGGATTTTGACCTTTTGCGCCAAGAAAATCATGAAAAGTTGCTGTCAGCTTCTGTTGATCATCACTAGTAGCAGCAACAGTAGCATATGAGTAGTCATTATTACTTTTACTTTGAGCATGAGCCATATATACAGATACTTGTATATATGTATCATATATAAATTTTATATATATTTGTTTGTGCAGAAATAGAACACCATTTTCACCATAACTAAGCTTCAAGAAAACCTCAAAACAAGAATCTTCACCCAAAAAAAATTAAAAATAATCCCAAAATACTGAAAAACAAAAACCAAGCATGAATATTTGAAGCTCGAGTGGGTGTTTGATTGTGAGTGAGACTCAGAGGGAGAAAGAAGAAAAGGGTGCACGATTTTTCAGAAAAACAAAACATACAATCAGAGATTTTTAAGAGATGAGAGAGAAACAGAGCATTAAAAAGTAAAAGTTATTTCTAGCTTTTCTCTGACAGACTTGCACGCATACAGAGACAAATGTGTGTATATTTTTTCTCTCTCTTTAATTTAAACGTACAATTCTGCTACAGTGATCAAATTTGTTTTGAAAGAGGGAATGATCTACTCTCACGATGGCGGGCCCACTCAAATTTGGGATTTTAATAATTTTTTATTTATAATTACGCTGGGGAAAGTTTCGATAAATTGCATTTTGACCCAATTTTTTGAAGTTTTTGCATTTTTACATTTGATGAAATTATAAAATGAATTTTTTTTTTTATTTAGATAAAAGATGCACCTTTAATAAAATTATTTTTTCAATAATTCTAAACTTAGTGACAATGTCCCTTCCGGACAAACAGGGCTACGTAGAGTGTCCCCCTACTGTTTGCCAAGCATTTCTCTTAATTTGTAATTGATTCATTCACCTTTATAGCAATGTCCTCAAAATGGGGTTGCACAGGCAGGTCCTACTAAAAAAAACCATGAACCGTTTGCAAAAATCAATTCAATTTATATTTAAAAATTCGATGAAAATCGGCCAATTAATCGATCGAACAACAAAATCGTTCAATCTACAACCGATTTTGGTGGTTTTAACATTGGTCTTTTCCTATCAAAATTTTGAAAACTTTCTTTACTATGCCCAAGGTTTAAGGCCCTAATAGTGTACCTATCAGCTTTTTTAATATCCTTTTCTCTAGTATTATAGTTCAAGGAAATTGATGTGGGAGTGGGAAAGTATTGGTTTAACAAGGTGAGATGGACTTTTATTTATTTTTTTTTTATTCAAATTTTCCTTATTTTCTCATTTATTTATTATAATAACAAACTAAATTCCATTAAAAATATTTAATCGACTCAATTATTAATATTTTGTCTATATTTGTTATCTCATTTTCTATTAATATTAGAAGTGGACTAAAATAAAAATTAATTGCAATCACGTGTATTAAGTTATTTTTATATCTATTTATAAGTCATTTGAAAAAAAAAATCTATTTTTATATATTTATATATTGATTATTTTATTTATAATTAGCGGTTCAATCTCGATTTGTCCTTGGTACAT